GTAAAATGGTTTAATTTTAAAAAGGGCAACGGACTTCAAAGAGCTGAGCAAATCCTCAAAAAAACGGTAAAATGGTTTAATTTTAAAAAGGGAACGATAAACCTTATCACACTAAAGTTTGCATCTAGTTTAAGTTTCGTGTTGAAAAACAAAACAAAACAAAACGGAATTGTGAAAAATATAGCCAAACTGGCATAACTGTTAATATTCATACAAATCAAGCCGGTGCCAGAGCGAAAGCGATCATGCTGAGGTCTATCGCGGCAGTCTCCTCTCATCGCAGTGAAGCAAGCATCAGAAATTACATAGGCCGCCTAAATTATTCCAGGTTGTGATCTATTGCAGAACTTTGATATTTTATGAATTTGGATGGTTTTACATTTATGAAACCTTGTCCAACCAATCAGACTGTTTGAACCTTTCTGACAAGGATTCTGATTGGCTTATTGTAGCAAGTGTATTGGAGGGAGGAGGGGGGGAGGTGAGAGCGGGATAGGAGATCACTTCTCGTGCCTTACTGCTTCCTGCATGCGTTACAACAGAAAAGAGCAAAATCAAGGCTTCTCCATTTGTAAATAGATCCCATGATGTTTTTTATCATCCATCATATCTATTACGGTCTGCGTGTGCGTTAATATCAACATTCGCATTGCTTCCGTGTTATAAACACAGCAGCGTCCTTTTCATGTCAATTGTGGGGATGCAGACAGTTCTGCGTAAAGGAGTTTCACGATGAAAAGTGACGTAATCTATGCAGGCATATCAAGAAGCGAGAATTAACTTCCTACCCAAAAAATTAAAAGCGATATATATGTTTTTTCAAAAACATAAATAAAGTACCTCTTTGCGTAAGTTTTCCCCTTCTTGCAGATCACCTATGTAGAAAGGACGTATAAGTAGCACTCATCATAATCCCGAAAGATGGTTTATTGATTTGAATAAACGAGGGGGCAATAAAAAAAATAATAATAATAAATAAATGAATAAGTAAACTGATGAGTAAGGAAAACACGAGATTGATAGATGATTGACTGAGATCGAAAAAGCGAAGGAGCGATCGAGAGATCGGACGGCCGGATGGATTTATGAATAAACAAATTAATGAAATTCTTAATGAGGAATGATCTCATGTTTAAAACAAAAGGAACCTTATACATACCATTTTCTTGCGATACGCTATCAAGTAACTTAATGGTGTAAACTTTGTAACGACTCTTCCATCCACAAAATTTGACGTCAATGTTATATGATGACTGGTTTCCTCTGACATTCACCTTGATCTTTGTCCGGCGATGTCCCCTATAGAGTTTTTTAAACTTCTGTGCGCATTTTTCCCGCCACTCAAAGGATTGCTGGAGACAATCACCGAAGGTTTTGCACCATTCAGCACAATTCCCTCTGCGGCATTTGATTTTTAACGGAGGCTCCTTAGTTATGTCATCAACCCGCGGACAGTTGTCTTTTATCCTCGGAAGTTTCATTTCTGCGTGTTTTCTGGAGCACTGGTTACTATGACCTGAAAAACAAACATGTATTAAATTTGAGAGAAAATACCTGACTGTACCTAACTCTCAATGACGACTTAAACATTTCTTTTTCAGCTTAAATTTCCTGTTAGATTATTACTAGGGAGCAGAACATTCGTTGGTGACTGTCACAATTTTCATTATTCATTTCAGTTACTTGCTCGATAAAGACGATGCGATAGTCGCTAAAAAGAGCACAGAAATACATATCCATGCGATAGCCTGTTTCAAGTATCGTTGGGCATACCCTTTGGTATCCTTGGGTTCAGTGCGTAAATTTCAACGGAAAAAAATCACACAGAGGCCATCGTCCACGTCTATACGTATATTGCCAAAGCACAGAACAGGTAATCGGTACTTGACGGTAATACTTTGCTAAAACATAAGGTTTCTTTTTGTATCATACAAAGTTGTTTGCAAGCTAGTCTGATGCAAACTGGAGAAAAAACAAAAAAAACAAAAAAAACAAAAAAAAAAACAGTGGCAGTTTATTGTCAGCCTTTTTATTAAAAGTGGTGTTGTAATCTTTTGACCCAAGGAAAATCGGACGACCACGAAGCGGGAGTCCGATTTGTTAATTACGAGTATGATTGCAGACAGAATTGGACGACACAAAGTCCTGTTACCAATTAATCAAAACTATAACAAAATTCGAGAAAGAAACTAGACATCGGATATACGTTTTTATATTAGAAAAAAAAAACAACAAAAGAAAAAAAAAAAACATTAGTTAACTCGGGGAAATGCGAGACAATAGCGCGCGGATATGACGCGTTCTGTCCACTTACACAGGCATGACGCGTAAACCGTCCTATTACACTGTCCAATTACAAGCATGACGCGTACACTGTCCTATTAGTGCTCAAATCGGGCTCATGATAACCAATCACGTTCGAGAATTTTGTTATAGTTTTGATTAAATTGTAAATCGACCTTTATAGCTTGTATGCTTTGTTTACCTAATGGAGGTCACTAGATCAAGGAAATTCACTATTTTACTTTTGTAAATTATGGAATATAAATATGGAAGTGAACAAGATAAAATTGAAAGTAAGAGTACTTTAGAGAATTACCACATAACCTACCTTGGGAAAATTTAATATAGGAGGTCTCCTATTCCAAGTTTGTTTGATATATATATAAACAGAGCCTCATGTTACATGGAGAGCGTCAGGAAGTCTCCCGTTGTCGAACATTGTTAGCTTAGGATATCAATTTTACCACAAATGACGTCTCAGTGCTTGGCGAATTGGAATTTGTTTGTTTCAACTGCATTTGTGTGGGTTCCGTTCCGAACTGGACAAAACGGGAATTATTTTCGGATTCCTAAGGAAGAGTTCTTTCACTAGAATTAAAATTTTCTATACCGTACTTTTCCTTTAAAGAGCGTCTAAGAGAGCTTTAAAGGGCTCCGTCGAAAAACAAGCGAAATTGAAAGTACAACATAGAACCAATAGCCTACTTAACATATCGACTTTTTTAAAAGTTTACATATATAAAGGTTACCATTTTACTTTTTCATACTCACCAACCATTAGTGCAAGAAAAACCGTTATCCGGAACATTTTGACTAGAGTTTCCTTTCGAACTTTCAGATATGAATTCGGCATTGTTGAGATCACCGTCTCGTGAAATAGTGATGAAGGTATTAATCTTTTTTTCAATGGCTTTGGGTAGACGTTAGACACAGAGATACGTTCGACCTTGAGCGAACAAGGAATAGAGCAGAGACCAAACTAGGTGTGAGTTTCTAACACATTATTCCTTAGGTTTGTTGGCACTAAATTGACTAGCTGGGTCTGTATTTACTTTATAAATTGAGACAATAGCAAGACATGACAAGAATAATTATTTCTCATACCCAAAAGTGTCATGGAAAATAGCAGGTGGATGTTTTTTTTTCATTGTGTTCGTTATAGAGGAAACGAAAATTTTCTCACCCTAGCTACTTTTTTCCAATAAAATTCCTCACCAACAAAATAGTTTTCAAACTTGCTATTTTCTTAATATGAAATAGCTAATGACAAGTCAATGAGTCGCACCACTGTTTTTTTCCGGTATTTTTTAAAATTCTAATTCACCCATAGTTTAGGCGCAGACTGGCGTATTTGTGTTAACAAAATCGCCAATGAGAGATGTGTAATGAATGAGGATTAAAACAAAACAAAGAGTGTTCAACTCAATAGGTGTCCTTATTGAAAACGGCTGAATTTCCTAGTTTGCATGACAAACTGTCATGAGGTTGAGCAAATTTTTGGATGAATATTTTATCATTTCTACCAGGGGAAATTCTCTTATCACAATATATTTCCCTTCTTTTTGTACCCCTAAATGAAAGACCAAAAAAATTATATTTTTCCTTTGACAATTTGAAACGTAAAAACCTTTTTTTAAGATTTAACTCCTCAAACTATTTGATTGGCGTTATTACGAATATAGACATTTTTAAAGACAACAAATTAACTAAGTTGACAGCAGATAGCAATTGAAGGATATAAAATAAGGATTTTAAATCTTATTCTATTGGTATTAGAAGGAAATAAAATATTTCATTTTAATGTCGGCAAAACGAGAATTATTAGGTCAAGGATATAGAGGAAAAGGAGAAAACGAAAAATTAAGACGGACTCAAGGATGTGATAATCATTGCTATTTCTTTTCCTAACGTCATCAAACGTCTGCGAGGCCTTCAATTATAAACCTACTAATGAAAAATTCTCGCATATTTTAGCATTTAAATAAATTGTTATTTCTTCTTTCGCTCACAACTCTATTTTTAGCTTTAGTTTTCTCGAAATATTGCTTATTCAGACTGCTTCACCTAGGCCCTACACAGCGATGTAAAATGATTTGATGCAAGTCTCACTTAGTGCGGAGTGAGACTGTAAACGGTTTGAGTCCGAATCTTTTCCACTTATGGCCTAAAAGGAACTTAGCTTTTAAGCTCGTAGGTTCATTATAACATCTCCAATGTCAAATTGTCATAATTACGTACATAAACAGGTGGATGACGGGTAGATCAATATCGCCTTACACACTGGTGGCAAAGGCTTTATAAAAAGATGAGGTTTTCCATAATAGAACATTCCATTTAGGTTCAATATTATTTTCAGTTTTCGCATGCATATCAGGTAAACAGGTGGATGACGGGTAGATCAATATCGCCTTACACACTGGTGGCAAAGGCTTTATAAAAAGATGAGGTTTTCCATAATAGAACATTCCATTTAGGTTCAATATTATTTTCAGTTTTCGCATGCATATCAAACTAGAATTTGTGATTATGACCATCGGATCTCCGACAATTAATCAAACAGAAAACAATACAGACGCGGTACAGAAAACATACCTGATATTCTAATTCTACCATTCTTTTATTTTTAAACGCTCGTAACGCTAACACGTAGTGTCTCAAGGACGATTGATTTTATCGCCGTTATCGGCTCACATTCAATGGAGGAAAAATATGCAGCACGGTAAATAATCACAATTGCCCAATCACTATCTTGACTAGAAAAGCATTTGGTTCTTTGTGTGCTTTTTGTATAGATTTTTTTGTTTGTTTTTGTTTTGTTGAAAGGTGACAACAAGACAGACGGTCTATAACGTGCACATAAAAGAAGGGAGCAAAATTGGTTGGGGTTAAACTTCTTCATTCAGCCACGCCACGTCCAGTTCTTTGATGGCCCACGCATGCGTAAGCCACGATAAGTCATAACACTCCGTCATTTATCCTATCCTTGTAGTGTTTTGCAGAGCGAAGGCAGTACAGTAACCCCTAAAGTGATGATAAGAGACTATATCGACCAAATTACAAAGCCTAAACTTTGCTTCGTTTTCCTTAAGGGGGGGGGGGGGGGGGGGGAGGGGCGCCGAAGGTGTTTTTTTTATAGAGGAGAACAGACCTACGCTGTAAAGAGACATGCTAAGATCAATATGGTCTCAATCTCCACGGAGAGCTTTTATTACTAGCTTTATATGTTGGCCGTTTCCATCTTTTTGAAAGCAGATGCAAATGTCATACCATGGATTCATCAATTAAATAAACATTCTAAGAACACGAAATGCTCTACGTTTGGTAATTATCAGTTAGCAGAAGTAAATTCAAAATGCATATGCATCTACAAATAGCAGATCAAAATCTAAACGTACAATAGTTTCTTGTATAGAAACGGGGCTCTGGTCACCGACAATGCACTGACAAGCCAACTTAAGGTTCGGCATAAGCAGCTCAAAAAACTTGAAACAAATTAGGACTTTCGTCACTAGAGATAACGACTTTCTTCCCCTATTATTGTTTTTTTTTTGTTTTGGTTTTTTTTTTCGTGGCTTTTCTTTAAGAGTTCTATTCTGATATTGTATTAAATAATTAGCTGCCGGATTCCTAACTTACAATATTTTCCTTGTATATGCCGCACTACGAAGTTATAGTTGTTATGTACAATGTAACAAATTGACAACTACACAGAGGTTTTGCTCGGAACTTTTTTAGTTTTTTCGCCGTTACTCAGTGGCTGAACCTTTATTTTTCTGGGCGCAGCAATGGCTGTGGAATCCTCATTTACTTCCGAGGGCACAACGGATGTTCGTTTTGTACTAGTCCCATCATCCACAGCTGGGAAGATGGCCTGAATCCTTCTTTTCAAACGAGCCCTTACCTATAAAGTGCAAGTTAAATTAGCCACATTATTGCATTCAAGGAGTTTGTAAGTCGTACTCTTTTTTTCTTTGACTTTATGATGTATGGGCTTTCAACAACAGCCAGTTTTTACAAGTCACAACTAAATTTGACGTCATTCAGCTATCTGGAGTTAATCTAGACAGGTATCGATATAAAATGAAAAAAAAAATGGCGTATAATTCTTCCTTTTTTGCGCTTAGGAAATATTATCAACATTAACTTTATATTCTAACATTTTACGCCGTAAAAGAGACTGATCTGAAACCCATGTCTTTTCTCCATTCTTCCCACACCCCCATCCTCAGACACGGGAATTTGAGCGGAGCTCCTGTGCACGTGTGGAGCTCCAAACCCTTCAGAACAAGTGAATATAATGATAATTTTGGTCCTACATTGCTTCCTTTTGTCATGTTGCTTTTGCTTGTCCAGGTAGTCCGGATCTAAGGACGAGCCCTTCGAACTAGGGCTTAATTTCTTTGATATGACATCGAAATTAAATAGAACTTCCTGGTCTCCACTGTAGTTTAAAAAAAATCGATATAATACCAGACATTGTGATGCAATTTTTAACGATAAATCACTGACCTCGCTGTTCCTCACGCAGTGAAGAAGAAAGATCAAGAAACCCTGTTGAATTAAATAGAAGTGAGAAGTTTTTTCATTATGACGATGATAAGTTGATTATGATTTCACCAGATTTAAACAATTTTTAAACCACTGAGCTGGCAGAGTAATGAATTCAACATAACACAATCCCAAGGTTCCCGGGATTGTGCATCTGACAGAATCTAAATTCTTTTGATCTCCACCGACCTTTTTCTACATCTTACCTGTGTAGAGTTGAGGATCGTGAAGATGTAGGCGAAAGCTTTATGTAATGGTGCCAATAAACCAAATAACCACGAGATTCCCAGCAGAGGAATCATAACTATGCATGCCTTGACACCAAGTCTGGAAAAGAACAAAACAAAACAAAATAAAAAACAACAACAATAAAGCAAAAACAAAACAAAGCAAAAAATGGGGTTGTTGATGATGTGATTGTTGATGATAAAGCACTATTAGGAAGCAATTCTATCAAGATGGTTTCCCGTTGTCACTGTTCCGGATTTTGGAATCTTCCTCAGTAGATTTGTGAAAAGGTTGGATTCCAGATTGTAGTTTTAAGAGAAGGAGCTGATTCAAAGACCCAATATTCCTGAAACCAGATTTCCTTTTATGGAGATGACCATACCTTATTTGCTCGCTATGTTTGTCCTTCTCTTGTTGCATAGTCACCATTTCCTTGATAACCCGCCCGAGGATCAGAATGTTGAACTTAAAGAAGGAAATAGAACTATATGAGCCCCAAAATTTTACCCTTTCTTTCTTTTGTAGAAGTTAAGATAGGTATGTTGTTAAGGATAATGATTCTAGGTCTTCTCGTCATCATAGAACTCGAAGAAGTAAGCAAACAATGGGCAAATCGGTTAGTACTGCACGATTATCACTTCTGTTTGTCCATTGACAGAACTCAGCGTATGTGCAAACTTTTTTCGTTCAGTTATTTACTGTTCTGACTGACATACATTTCTAATTTCTAACCACTTTACTCACGTGAGAGTAAGATAGCTGATTATCGTCAATGTGATACCAATAACAGAAAGGGTCAGCCCGACGTATGTGAGAATTTCCAAGTTCTTTTCGTCTTTCTTTAACGAGGGGAAATATAACCAATAACAATACTTCAAAAGATTTACAAATCTAAATACATCAATTTAATCACGTTTTATTCTACTTTAAAAACTAAAATGTTAAAATAATACGTATTTGTTTGAATATACAAGCAGATATTATCGTACAGGGGAGTTGCAGGCGTTGTGGTGCCACTTACCTCTGATATATCGGCAGTCTCTGTACCAGATGATGTGTCCAGAAGAACAGCAAAATGAGTCAAATGATTGCATGTGCATTCTGTTTGGTGTGCATCAGTAGATTTGACGTAGCATCCTTCTCCTGACCAGCCAATGGAACTGAAACGTAAAATAGATAAGTTATCGATCATGCAAGACTCTAGTGCAAGTCATGGGGACGGAGCCCCATATCCAATAATATTGATAAGTACTCGAGGTGACAAACTTTGACTGTTAGACGATGATCCTTTTAACCCTTTAACTCCCACGAGTGACCAATACAGAATTTCTCCTTACAATATCAATACAATTTCAAGCAGAAAAGTGATGAGAATAAAGAAGATTATCAGTGAGGGGATTTTGAGTTGATGCTATACAAAATTCTACAAACTAACACCACAATAACTGTATGGCACACATTTAGGAGAATTACTAATGAGATCTTGGGAGTTAAAGGGTTAAGTACTTGCATGCATTCACTATTTCTCAAAACTTTGTTCTTCACGCGTGGAGAGTTTCATGTGAAAAATTTGAACAAAGGGCACCACAATTTTGCTTACTGGAACTCTTTCGCAGCTTGACTTCATTTAGATATAAGTGTTCGCATCAGACCGAGAAGAAACTGGTAAGCATAAATCATACATTATTCCAACTTAATCAACCCAATGCTAGCCTCATGACTTGAATAAAAAAAAATGGTAGAGAGACAATCAAGCTATATTTACCTCTCATCGAACATGTTCCAGAACATACATTTTTTCTCGTTGGTTGCATTCTAAAATAATGGAAATAATAGCAAAACACATAGTTCATGAAAGATACATAACATAACGCATTGTGGACTATATATAGAAATCTAACGAATTCTGAACTCATAAGCAACGCAGCTAGGCTAAAAATAAGCGAGTTTCATTCCAGACAGCGACTCAATCTCAACCAGAAAAGACACGGTATAGTAAAAATTGTCATGAAAAGAAAATCATATGTCATACTACCTTCATGTTTTTGAACTTCAAAGTTATATTTTCCTTTAGTTTCGTGGGCGAAGGAATTATTGTGGCAGCCATAATAATGGAGTTGACTTCCCTATTTCGGAACATTAAAAAGTCAGAATTATTAAACTTCAAATGCACACCTCCACGTATACATAAAAGAAATAAATATAAATTGTTAAGCGTAAAACCTTCCAGTTTTTAGCTTGAAGAAATTAATTAAGCATTTATGCATACAAATATGTGAGATATACGTATAGTTCAAATAGCTGGGAGACCTGGAATTGTTCATGGTACTGTTCTCTGGTTTATTTCTAGTAAATAGTTTATGGAGGTCCCTGTATATCACTCCAAGTACCACTGAACCTGGGAAAAGGATAAAAATGAAACAATTTCACGAATTTTGGAAAATTGTAATATATCAACTAGAAAATCTAAATTAACATATAAATAAATGGATCGCGAAAAAAACAAAACGTTTAAACACGGAATATTAAAAATAAAATTTTCAAACCATTATCCAAATTTTCCGACGGAATGATTAGGAAATTTTCTCCCGTAGGTTCCTCTAGACGAAAGTGGTGGCTGTGATTTTGGTAGAAGGTTTTCCTGACGAGAACATCTCGGAGAAAAGAATAAAAATGTTATTATGATGATGATAATGATAATGATAATGATAAAAAATAATTACAATGATAGTAAGGATAGTAATACTACCACTAATAATAATAACAACAATAAAAATAAAAAGATCGATTTAAAACAATGTGGGTAATGTCAATGGGCGATAAAGGTTCCTTACAAGAGAGTTGTGAGAATTAGCTTAATATGTATTATGCACCTCATGCGATGAACGCTTTTTCATCGCCATGCCTTGAACTATTATATTAAGAAAGTGCCTTACCCATGTGTATACTGTTCATATTAAATTCACTTGTTGTGCGATTGAGGTTATACTGTCCGTATTCCAACAGAGATGTCTCCAAAGATGTCAACTCAAGAAAGACTTCTTCTATCTTTTCCTGTTTTTGTTGACTTTTGTTGCGCATTTCTTCTGTAAAGCGCTGAGGAATGGTGTTCAAAGAGTTGAAGATATCCTACACATACGGCGAAGTGGTTTAAATCAAAGAAAGAAATGATAAACCATACTAATCTCATGATTTTATTTTATCACCTATCATATATATTAGGTCAGCATGCACGATGAGCCATGAATATCAATTTTCATTGCCCCAATAAAATCAACAAAACAACGTACTCTTTTATAAATGGACTTTCACATGTTTTTTTCGGAAATACGTTTAATAATGACACAATGGTTTAATTTATAAATACATATCAAGGAACAGGAACTAACAGTAGCAACTTAGTAATGTATTACAATAACAAAAAAAACAAAAAGCAAAAACAAAAAAAAAAAGGATGAATAGAAGAAGAATACCTCTCTACGGAGACCTTGCGCTCCTGGCCCAGCACCTGTGTGGGAAGGACACATACACCAAAAGATAATAAGTCAGTAATTTGAATAAATAACGGCAATAAATAGCTGAATAAATATATGAATAAATGAGTCAATGGCTGAGTGAGGAAAACACCTAATTGTTAAATAATTAATTCTCACAGAACAAAGGAACGAAGGAATTATAGGAACAGAGAGACTGATGGATTTAATGATAGACAAATGGATGAGAAAATAAATGATAAATGGTTCCATGATAAAAATTAAAAGGAATCTTTTGCTTACCATTTCCTTGCAATGAGCTATTAAATGGCGTTATCTTTATTATGGTGTAGGTTCTCTTCCAGAGGTTTCCATAACAGTATTGGACGTCAAAGCGATATGATAAGCCATTTGTTATAGAGTCCACAATTATGTTTGTAAGACGACGTTTATAAATCCTCCATGCACATTCTTCTTGCCAATCAACGGATTGCTTGAGACACCATGTCAGGATACAGCACCAACAAGGTGGATGATGGCAGTCGATTTTTAACCAAGGCGGATCGGTTCCGTTTTCAATTCGTTGACAGGTGTCTTGTACCCCTTTTAGTTCCAACCCTCCGTAATTCTCAGGACACTGGTAACTATAATCTGAAAATGATTACTCGGGTAAAAACGTTAAATTCCAAAGAATATGCCTGACTATACCCAGCTTCCGATGATAAAATTTTATCCGTAACAGAGATTTTAACTGCAATAGACTGCTTCAGGTGTCTCTTAGCAAGAGACTACGCAAATTCACGAGAATACTATAAATAATAAAACCATCGTATTGATACCGACATCGAATAAAACAGACTTTCAGCGATTGACGAAATGCTTTAATGAAATAGGTTTTTTATCCCTGCATCATCTCCTAAGGATAGGGAGGTGGGGAGGAGGGGAGGGGAATGTGATGGCGTTGGAGATGAAGGGCAAGTTGGCAAGCATAAGACAAATAAGACATGGAACCTTTCCCTCCCCTCCCCCTTCCAAAAGAAAAACAAACAGGCAAACAAAAACAAGCAAATTCGAACTAAATAGATGGATGGATGGATGAATAATATCATAAATAGGTAGTAATTGATCCTGGCTTCTTTTTGAGGCTTTCTTATCATTGAAGTAAATATTTGGTAGAGTTTCGGTTTCGACAATATGTAAAGCGACATGGTTAACTCGGTCATGTAACCATGAAAAATGTTGCACCATTACGTTCTTTATCGTGAGCAACAGCTTCCACGGCTTTCTTATGAATTCAATATCAAAATAAATAGATAAATAAATAAAAAGATTGATGAAATTTAGAACTTTACCCAAAAACCAGCGAAATATAAAATAAAATGCGTAGTGCATCATGGCGCCAATGGCCTTCTTAATACATCAAGTTCTCTAAAAGTAAGCAACTCAGGAGGTTACTATACTGCTTTTCCACACTCACCAATCATTAGTGCAAGGAAGAGAATCTTCCGGAACATTTTGGCTAGAGGTCCCTTTGAACCTTCGAATATGAATTCGGCCTTTTTGTATCTTAAGATCACCGTCTCGTTAAACAGTGATGAAGGTGGTGGTTTTCGTCCGGTGGCTTTACATAGAGGTTATATCCAGAGGATAAATCTTGAAAGAGCAAAGAAGAAAGCGATGACAAGCTCGGCGTGAGTTTTTAACACTTAATTCCTCAAGTTTGATGGCACTAAACTGACTATCTGGGTCCGTATTTACTTTATGAATTACGACAATGCGAGAACATGACATGAATACTTATTTTTTTTTCATTAGGAAAGTGTCATGGAAACCCAAGGGCAGCAGCAGGTGGTGGTTTAGCTAACAATTGCTTAAAGTAGAGTTAATTATAGAATAACCGACATTTTTGTCGCCCAAAGCATTTTCCTCTACTTACCCTCCCCTTGACACCAGCGTAATAGTATTTAAATTTTCTATTTTCTT